GATTAATTCCCAATTGTCTAAACAAGTTGACAGTAAGGGAGAAGAATGCCATTCATCAATAATGGAATGAAATAGCAAAGAATCCGTACTTGACAAAACTTGTTGGCCAGTTTTAATTATTAAATTTTTTATTTCTATTTCACATGGGTCCGCAGTACTTGGAAAATTTCAGCGAGAAACCATCAACTCCAACGCTAGAGGTGTTTTTCATAGCTCCTACAGCTTTTACTACCTCAGTTAGGTCAACGAGTATATCAGAAATTAATGATACCGTTAAGTTGGGTGCTGTTCCAGAGGTAAGGAAAGGATTTTGAACTGATGAGTAGCAAGAATTAAAATGATTGCTAAACATTTCGCAAGTTTCTTGTAAAGATGAAGAGGTATAACTAGATTTGTCCGTAACAAATTGAGGAATGGTTAATTTTCCATTACGAAACTTATTGACAGATTGCCAGAAACGCGTTGGATCTTTGAAAAGAGAAACAATATTCTTAAAATGATTTTTCTTATCCTTCTTAACTGACTTAACCACCTCACTTCTTAACATTTTAAAAACAGTGTAATTAGCAGCTGTTTTGACGGACTTCCAGCGATTAAAAGCCGTATTTCTTTTACACATTTTTAGTCGAGTATCTTTGGAAAGTGTTATATTGGCTTTTCGAAGTACATTTACGCGCTTAAGTGGGACGCATTCCTCAATGCAGGCATCGACATGTGCCTGCCAGACTCTTACACTATCAGAAGGATCAGTAGCACTGTAAAAAGAAGGAGAAATAGCTTCTAACATCGGGTAGAGTAGTACTAAATCGCATGAAGAGAAATCGGGAATATATTTGTATTTGGTTTGTGGGCATGTGACAGAAATGTCGAATGAAAAAAATAACGTAAAATGCATTGATTTGCCGATAGAAACCTGATCGAAAACTTTTGGCGCTTTCAAAACAGAAGGATAGAGTACATAATCTAAACAAGAATCCTTTGTTGTAGTAACGATCGTATGAGTACAAGCTAACGAAAAAACCGCTGCAAGATCACATAGAGCTTGGTGCATTAGTATGTCAGAAGGATCAGCATTGAAATCGCCTGCGATAAAAAGAATATCATGGAGAGAAGGTAGAGAGGAATGGAGAAAGGACTCTAGCTGAGTGAAATATTCATCTCTAGATTCTTTTGGTCGATACGAGTTACAAACCATAAAGCTACGGTCGTTTACTATAACCTTCACTAGTATCGATTCTGTGCTGGTATCAGTCGCGATCAAAGAGCACTGAAAAAGATCTGGGACGTAGATGAGGACTCCTCCTCCGTGTCGACTACGATCACGTCTGAAAATAGAGTACCCAGGTAGGTGGCATTCTAAATCTGATATCTCTGGTGATAAAAAGTCTCTTGAAGGCATATTATATGAGGTTTAGCAGATAGGATCGTTTGTTGAAGTAGCGTTAAGTTGGCAAGAATACTTTGAATGTTGTGATTCAAAATAGTGAAAGAAGACGAACGAGATAAACTAGTTTTAGACTGCCAAACAGATGCCAGTGGATTAACGCTGGCTGTCATAGCCGAAACTTGAGACAAATTGCTAGAAAGTGAGACAATATTTTGAGACTGAAATAAAAAGAGAAAATGAGACTTGCGAAGGTGAAGAAACAGAGTTATTTCCCGAAACTAAAGAAGAAATAAAGTGCCAATTGGCCCTAGAGTTTGGTTAAATACAAGTTTTCAAGTAATCATCGATACTGTTAGACAATGTGTTGGTTCCAAGTGCATTCAAGTGAATTCCGCTGTTGTTGATCATATCACGTGTGAATTTACATTCAATTACATCGAAACCAACAGTTGTAGATAACTGAACAAGTTTATGATTAAACTCGTCAATGTCGTCATTTTGTATGGCTTGAAGACTTGGTTTCAGTAGAGAATCAAATTGCGGAGGAATGGTGACAAACGCAAGTTTCATTTCAGAATACTTCTCTTTGAGAACTTTGGTCAATAGTTGAATTCTTTTGATGGATTCGTCCGAGTTAGTCTTTAACAAATCAATTGTACCAAGTGAGAAAATAGTACGTTCTGACAGATGAAAGTTTTGGCCAATTTGATCCTGTTGTACGTACTGTACCATATCCAGAATAGAAGATCCAGGTTTGGTTCGAACTTTGACGTCAAAGGCAACATCATTCAGGGTGCAAACACCTTGTTCTAATCCCCTGATGATACTACTTCCTGTAATATAAACAGGGATTGACGCGGATTTTGATTGAGTCACAGATGAATTGTTGGAGTTTGGCAATAGAGTAGATACTGGTCGACGCGAAGATGAGTGACTGGATTGTAAAGGTGATCAAGCAAGATTCATAACACCTTTCGACGTTGGTTGAGATTGAAAATTCGAAGGAGGAACCGCACCAACGGCATATGTAGGCCATAGTTGATTATATTGTGACCATAAGGTTTTCACCAGCAACTCGTTTTGATCAAGTATTTTTATTAAAAATGGATGCGACAGAACGTCATGATTCACGGCGACATCTGGTAGACTAAGTGATTCATTTGACTCATCATCAGCCCCATTCATAGCAGAAGACAGTTTTTCAATTAACGACAAACACTCGTTATTGGATAATTCTTGCAGGCTCGTTTTCTGAACACAATTCAAAAACGTTGTTTTAATGAGTTGAGAGGTAGCCACCATGATCAGAGATAATAGAGGACGAGAGACGACACTGGATTGGTCAAGCGGTGAAACGTATGTAAATAATGGACGAGAAACACGCCTTTTTAACTTACGTATTTTTGATAAAAATACTGATTAGAAATCGACAGAATTTGACAGAATAATAGTAATAATATAGATTAGTGAATACGCCAAAAATAGGAAAGATTTATGCAGTATAAAGCACGAAATTACAAAAATACAATTTCCCTGTTCAGAGAAAAATATGAAACACGTCTTCACTCTTTATAATGTTTTGATGGAATTCCGTCAGAGCAAAATTCCTAAGAATTAATAGGAATTTCGGAATTACTTCAAGTATCCACTGATGTACTACAATGAGGGATGGCATATAACTTTATCCTGAAGCGGCCCCGGAATTCCTGCAATGCGGAATTACTCGGAATTACTAGGAATTCCGGAATTACTTGTAGTGCAATGATGTACTGATGTAGTGCAATGAGAAATCGCATATAACCTTATACTGTAGCGGAATTCCTGCAATGCGGAATCACTGCGAATTCCGGAATTACTTGAAGTATCTACTGATGTACTGCAAGGAGGCATGGCATATAACCTTATTCTGAGGCGGAATTCCCGGAATTCCTCCTGAGCGGAATTACTAGGAATTACTAGGAATCACTAGGACTTCCGGAATTACTTGAAGTATCTACTGACGTACTGCAATGCTGGATGGCACATTACCTTATTCTGAAGCGGAAGTCCCGGAATTCCTGCAATGCGGAATTACTTGAAGTACATAACTTATTCTCAAGCGGAATTCCCGGTATTCCTGCAATGCGGAATTACTAGGGATTCCGTAATTACTTGAAGTATCTACTGATGCACTGCAAGGAGGAATGGCATACAACTTTATCCTGAAGCGGAATTCCCGGAATTCCTTCTAAGCGGAATTACTAGCAATTACTAGGGATTACTTGAAGTACATAACCTTATTCTCAAGCTGGATTCTCGGTATTCCTGCAATGCGGAACTACTAGGGATTCCGTAATTACCTGAAGTAGCTACTGATGCACTGGAAGGAGGAATGGCATATAACCTTATTCTCGCGCGGAATTTCCGGAATTCCTGCAATGCGGTATTATTCGGAATTACTATCAAATAGATCTAGTAGTGTAATGGCAATATTGTCAATATACGTTCAGAATATTTGCTTATACGTTACTGTTGTTCTGCTTGTTCTATTAACGCTCACCGACAGCTCAGGTAGAGTTAAATTACTGCTTTCACTTTTACGAATGTTCAAAATTGAAAGTCGCTTCTCACGTTGGGTGCTGTTCTGTGCAGAGCTGGGCAAAATACTCGAAGTACTCGTACTCGAGTACGATTTTGGTCGTGCTCGTACTTGTACTCGAAGTGGCCAGTACTCGATAATCTAATATTTGAAATTCCAGATGAAGTGTGTGTTATTTATGCGAAGAAAGTCGTGAAGAAGATTTACTTTTTTCTAAAAAGCACATCTATCCAGGATTATATCAACTTCCTCTAAAATATCTAACAGTGCCTGCGACATCGGCTTCTATCGAACGCGTTTCCTCACAAAGTGGTTTTCTGATGAGACCACATCGAGCATCGTTAACGGCAAAGAACGTGTGTCTACTAACTTTTCTAAAATGTAACAAAGTTTTACTTTGATTCCATTTACTTGAAGGTTGATAATACAATAAATTAAAAAAATGTTTTAACATTTCGCTTTGTCAATATTTTGTTCTGACC